GGTAGGCAGTGCAGAGACTGTAAAATTGGGGTAATATGATCATATTTTCTTGACCTGGTAAGGACTCTAGCCACTGCATTTTGGACTACCAGTAGTCTGTATATACTTTAAAATAACTAATTGGCCATTACATGATACATACTTCTTAAAATAAAATGTCCATTATATTGAATGTTTGACTTTATTTGTATTTTGGCCCAGTTTACTCATGTAGCTGTAAAAAAAAAAGCCTGATGAAATGTAAAATATATTTACATCTTCATGACTAGTGTAGATACAGGTGAGTTTATCTATACCTATACATGTTAGGTTGTAACAGTTTCCCTGTTACTTATGTACCAGAAATCCTCATTGAGCACTATTGTCCCTACACTATTGGCGCTCTGGTAAAGTAATGCATGAATTTACCTATTTAAGGTAGCAAAGGAGGAGTAATGGCAGGAAGTTAATTCTCTATCTTCTTTGGAGAAGCTTACCTCGTGGTGGTTTGAGACGTTGTACCCTGTTTGAGGAACTTTATAGTTCTAAGCTCATCCGTAAGTAATTGTTTATGGTATTTTGTTTTGTTAACAATAAGTGTTTGTAGCACATGGTTATGGTTTGTTTAAATGTTTGTCTACAGAGGGTTTGTGTTCTGAGCCTATATGGATTATTTGGTGGCTCAAACATCTGAGAAGCCTGGAACTAGGAGAGCTGACTGCTTAAAAGCAACGCTGGACTTCAAATATCTCTTTGCTAGTTGGTCTTTGCTGGGGAATCATCTGGGCATTCAAGTACTGTTTTTTTTTTTCACTTCATGTTTCAACAAAGATTGTGCTCTCACTTTATACCCTCTACCACAAAGACTGAGCAAAGTATATGGGTCTAAGTGATTACAAGCCATGGGCTCTGTTTTGGGATACTGGACTGGTTTTATGCTCTGGTCCTAAATGTTGTACTCTCAATTGTGTGTGTCATATTGTATTTGTACGTGCTTGGTAATTATATTTAATACACCTGACTCATGAGTAGGATTTGTCTGGTTGGTCCCTCATTTCGTGTAGCATTTGCACAAAAGACAAAGGTATATGTGTGTTACCAGGTTTAACATTTAAAGGAATAGTTCACCGAAAAATGTAAGTTTGGTGAAAATGTCCTCACCCTCAGGCCATCCAAGATGTAGAGGAGTTTGTTTCTTCATCAGATTTGGAGAAATGTAGCATTGCATCAATTGCTCAGCAGTGAATCATCTGCAGTGAATGGGTGCCGTCAGAATGAGAGTCCAAACAGCTGATAAAAACATTGCAATCTTTTTGAACTTAAAACCATCATTTCCAGCCAATATATGAGTTCATGTTTGGACTCTAATTCTGACGGCATCAATTTGCCGCCCATTAATGACCTCTTTCTTTCTTTCTTTCTTTCTTTCTGTTGAATAAAATAACATTCCTCTATAGTGCACACAATCGTTCACTCATAGTAATTTATTTTTATTTGTTTTACATCATTTGAATATGACATTCTAACCCATATGCAAAATAGTAGTACCAACATATAATACAAATGCTGAAAATGTCCTGAAAAAGGTCAAAGACATTTAAATGAGACCAATAGAATATCATGACTATGGAACTTTATAATTATAACAATATTTGTCATTGTTAATGACAGCATAGAAAATTTATTTATAATTTGCATTTGATAGGCACTTTTTATCCAATGCAACTTACATCGTATTTAAAATAAACATTATATAAGTTCTCAACTTCGATGATTTTAGAGCAACCATAAAGGATCAGATCACATCTGTTGTTTAAAACCATTGTCCACCAAGGGACAGTCACATTATTTTCAGAGGGACCAGAAAATCTAGTTCTGTCATGATAACGATAACTCTCAGAGAAATTAGCATCGTAATATATGGCGATGTTAATGCATTTTCCTCCAAACATGACCACCAACCTGAAGCAAACACTCCTTCCAAACATGTCCACCAACCTGAGCCAATCACTCCCTCCAAACATGACCACCAACCTGAACCAAATACTCCCTCCAAACATGACCACCGACCTGAAGCAAACACTCCTTCCAAACATGTCCACCAACCTGAGCCAATCTCTCCCTCCAAA